GAGTATGTGTATTTTTAGGCCTCATGCACACAGATGTACAATTATTTATTTATTTTGTATATGACAAAAAAAACCCACAAATATATATAGTATTATGTTATTTTTGGTTAGTTCTCTAGATAATTATTAAATCAATGTTAAATATAAACAATACTATGTGTTTCTTTTTACTCTGCCAACTTGTATTTGATTGGATACGGCAGAGCAGTGAATAACCCCGCGAGCAGAATTCCACTTCCTATAATGAGTGCTGACAGGTTAATTGTTGGCTATATGTCACATATCACAGTTCGGCGCACACCTCGGCTCTATTCGGCTCTGCTAATAAATAATAATAATACTTTCATTCTGTAGTTTTGTTATTATGGAACAGAAAGAAGATGAAAAGCTAAAGCCGAGCTCCGCAGGTTGCCTTGCAGCAGGCCTGTTGGTATCCGGCAGCTGTTGCTATGGAGACGTGTACATGGAGACAAGGCCTGCAGCCATGGCAGTAGACAACACATTGTACTATTGTGTGATCTGTCAGTGTATCCATTGCTGATACTTCTCTATAATCAACAGATCAATTACCCCGGCCAGCCCTGAACAGGATCCCGTCCCCTGGGGCATGAAATGAGCAATAGCTCAGTGTGAAGGGTCAAATTTCCATCCTCCGGAAAACCACGCTTTACGTATCACGTTTTGTCCCCGCCGGGGAGATTTACGCTTTCACCAGGGCAGAACGTAGCGTGAAAATGTCAAATTTTATGGTTGTCACAGAACCAGGAAGTCAGTAAAATCTTTGAATGGGGATGCCTGTTCCCATGGCAACTGTCTAAGAGGGGATTTCTTTCACTTTGGAGAGAACTCCTCTGACTTCCTGTTGTATTTTTTGGACAGGAAGTGAAGGGAAACCTCTTCAATGGGATACAGCTAAAAAAAAGAAACTAATAGGGGTCAGCTATACCTTAAAGAGCCCCAACAACCAATATCCTCCTTTCCATAGATGATTCACTTTTATTGACTTGCAATTTGCCTCTAAACATGCTACAAAATGTGACAGCTCCAGGAAGAGTTGATTCCATAGCAGAACCCCTTCCATCCTTGCAGGCATTATTCCTCTGGGACTGTCTTATTCCTGTCTGTGTTGGCCCAGCTCCTCCACCCCTACCATGCCTCCTTCCACATCATAGCCCTCTCCTCTTCTGGGAGTGTCTAATTATTGTCTTTGCTGGCCCAGCTCCTCCACCCTCTTTGCATGTCATAGCCCTTTCCTCTTCCTGATTAACCTATTTATGTACCTGCTTGGGAAAAAGTGATGGGTGGTTGTCTGATGGTTGCAAAAATGGCACTCGGTGTGTAAAAGGTTGCTGACCCCTGCTCTAGAGGAACAGCTCTGAGTCTTCTGAAGCTTCTGACACCACAACCAAGATGGCGGCCCCCCAGCAGCAGTCTCGGGGCTTTTGGAAGTCTACACAAGGGAGACTTTTACAGGTAAATAATAAAATATGTTAAATGCTAATATAGTCTTCTGGGGGGATTTTTGCTGAAATGAATGGTCTGGTAACAGGTTCTCTTTGAGCACAGGTACATGCAGGCAGCACAAAGCGCCCATACAATCAGATGATTTGAGAGGTTCGACAGGTGGCTTGAATACAGTCGGCAAGGTTAGAACCCCCATCTTGGTTTTTATTTCTATCCGGGGCTCTGTTACAGAGATTTCCCCTCACTTCCTGTCCTGCTGATAACAGACAGGAAGTGAGGAAGAATCTGAAATGGCAACACACTCAGCAGTAAAAGGTTGGCAGGGGTTCTAGTTGTACCCTAGTAACATAAAAATGCATTTGTATTGCTGACTGTATTGCTGTTAGGGAGTTACCCTGCTTGATAAAATGTTGTCAGCAGGACAGGAAGTGAGGGGAAATAAATCCCAGATGTGTGGGCGGGACATACACTGTTTAACCCCTTAAGGACAAAGGCCTTTTTTTAATTTTTTGCACCCATGTTATAATCCACATTTTAGGCCTGAAAATTACTTAAAACCACCCAAACATTATATATTTTCAGAAAGCCAAGAACCTGTAGAATAAAAGGGTGGCAGTTGTAAATTTTTATGTTGCACAACATTAGCGCAACTTATTATCAAACCCCCAACATTTGTGAAAAATACACAAAAGTTAAGTTAAATTTAGTGCCCCAAAACACAATAAAATACCCTTTTTTTGTTTTTTACTATATAAAAAAGATGAGGTTACGATGAGTAAATAGATACCCAACATGGCCGGGTTAAAAATTGTGTGTGCCCGTGAAACTGTGACAAAATTCAGTACCCCAAAATGTCCATAGATGACGGTTTAAAAAGCCCCAGCAGGTCATCAGTTTAGAGATACACGTAAATATTGGCCCGAGAATTATTGCTCTCAATGTGGCGTGAGGGGCGATACCCAACATGTGTAGGGCAATCGTTGTTTTCGTATGTACGTGCACCCGACGTGTGTTTACGTGACAAGGCACATGCTCTCTGGAGCGGGGGACTTTAAAAAAAAAAACATGTTTAAATTATTTGTACATTTCATTTATTTAATATTATTTTTAAAAACAGTTTTTTTTTTACTTTAATTGCTATCACATAGGGGGGCTTACAAGCCAAGTGATAGCATACAGGTACTCTTTAAGGTCCAAAAGACCCCTAATGTCACCTTCCCACTTTAAATAAGTGCAGATCACACTTCAATAGCTTATTGCTGGGCTTCAGGAGCTGAGCGATGACGTCTATGGGACTGGAAGTGATACCATACGCGTCGCTCCCGGTCCCATAGTACGGGGAGGAAATCGGTGAATTTCCTCCCCAGCTTCCCGCTGACACCCGGCAAGCCGGTCTTGGGCCCGTAGGAGGGGCAGTGATGCCAAGGAAACAAGGTGGTGATGTCGACCGTGGTGGGGGCGGGTTGGCCCGGTTACCAGATCATAGAAGCGATCTGGTGGTAGCTGAGCCACCAGAATTGCTTCTACTGTAAAGCCGGCCGCCGGCTCTACAACACTGAACAGACTCGAGTCTGTTTAACCCCTCCAGACTTCATGACGGGATTATCCCGTCATGGGTCGTAAACGGGTTAAAGTATATGTAAACCCTGACGGAACCAGGGTAACTTGTCTCCTCCCTCCTACCTTTATGGGTGGGGCCTCCCACAGCTCTGTGTGCAGCACAGTGATGATGTCACTGCTACTTTTACATTTAGTGGATTGATAAATATATTTAAATGAAAATGTTTGTACCCCGGAGTTCAGCTTTAAATATAACTAAATACTTTCTGTGGTATATCTGTGCAAGTGCAAAAAAAAAAATACCTGCTGATCATGTGCTGAGCACACTTCCTGTGTAATATCAGAAAATCCTCCCAGTTCTTAACTTGGACTACAGAATAATTCTGCCCTATGTTGTGGAGATGAGAAGAGGGGGGAGGGATTCAGTAGTTTAGCAAAAGAATACGAAACAGGGCTGACACCAATCCTTGTGACTTCAGTCCAGTAAACAGGTGCAGCGTTGTCAGCCCCATCCAGGAAAAAATACACCCATATGTGGGCAATGAAGGCATAATTGGTACAATATGCGGGCAATGAATGTGTAATCGTTACAAAATGCGGGCAATGAAAGGGTAATCGTTACAATATGCGGGCAATGAATGGGTAATCGTTACAATATGTGGGCAATGAACGGGTAATCGTTACAATATGCGGGCAACGAATGTGTAATCGTTACAATATGCGGGCAATGAACGGATAATCGTTACAATATGTGGGCAATGAACATGTAATAGTTACAATATGCGGGCAATGAACATGTAATCGTTACAATATGCGGGCAATGCACATGTAATCTTTACAATATGTGGGCAATGAACGGGTAATAGTTACAATATGCGGGCAATGAACGGGTAATCGTTACAATATGCGGGCAATGAACGGGTAATCGTTACAATATGCAAGCAATGAACATGTAATCGTTACAATATACGGGCAATGAACATGTAATCGTTACAATATGCGGGCAATGAAGGAGTAATTGTTACAATATGTGGGCAATGAAGGAGTAACCTTTACAATGTGGGGGCAATGAACAGGTATGTTACAATATGCGGGCAGCAAAGGGGCAATCATTACATTGGGGCAATTGATTTAGGATACTTGCAAATATAGATGAGTTTTCTAGCAGGACAGAACACGCAGCAATGACGTTTTTCTGGTTGAGTGACGCACTTACCCGGGGATGTAATGGGGTTCCGGGGTCATCAGCATAGGGCTGATTTTGGGTGGAAAGGTGGCTGCCATGCTGTGGGGGGTCCTCGGCGTCTGCAGGTTCCCCCTCCCTGGTGTCACTGTGCCGGGACCTCTGTGTGATTGTGTGATCAGTTGTCAGGGACTTGTTGTGGGAGGAGAGGACGGGATCCAGGCAAACAAAGGAGGAGCATGGTAACACAACACTTGTCTCCAGACACTTGTACTCTGTGGAGATGCTAACACACAGCGAGCCCAACACATTGCTGAGGTCACCTGCACCTTAGGGGCTCATTCACACGGGCGGCTGAGCCCGTACAACGTAAATACCACCGAATTCCTCGCCGCCAGGGGTCACCGGTGCTGCGTACAACCTCCCATAGAGGTCGATGGCTGTGCACCAGTACATCCGAATATGGGCAATACCGTAAATTCCTGGATGCTGAAACCTATGTCCAGGGATTAACGCCCCTACGGGCCTCATTCACACGGGCGGCCGAGCCTGTACAATGTAAATACCACCGAATTCCTCGCCGCCAGGGAGCCACCGGTACTGCGTACAGCCTCCCATAGAGGTCGATGGCTGTGCACCGGTATATGCCAGTACATCCCAATATGGGTAATACCGTAAATTTCTGGATGCTGAAACCTATGTCCAGGGATTTATGCATGTGAATGGGCGGGGCTTTTTTGAAGGCAGCTTTCTTACCACCAGGGAGCCACAACTGCTGTGTACAGCCTCCCAAAAAAGTAAATGGCTGTACACAGGTGTACGCCGCCTCTTGCATACGGGCTCATTCACACAGCTAAGAGTTGGCCCGTACAGATCTGTGCGGTGTGCACGGCCATATCGAGCCCTTCCCAGGAGGGACAGGTGCTGCGTGCGATTGTACGGCGGAAACAGTCTGTTCTTCCTTTTGAGAGGACGCCGCCACACGCTCACCCGAGCTGCACATCCGTGCGGGTGTGGGTTTCCGTGCTCGGACGCAGACAGGATCCATCATGTCTGTGCCCAGGTACGGACACCCGCACGGATGTGCAGCTCGGGTGAGCGTACGTCCGCGTCCTCCCATAAGGAAGAACAGGCTGCTGCGTGCAATCACACGCAGCACCTGTCCCTCCCGGGAAGGGCTCGATACGGCCGTGCACACCGCACGGATCTGTACGGGCCGACTCGAAGCTGCGTGAATGAGGCCGTATGCAAGTGGCGGCGTACGCCTGCGTACAGCCATTTACTTTCTTGGGAGGTTGTACACAGCAGTTGTGGCTCCCTGGCGGTAAGAAAAGTTGCCTTCAAAAAAGCCCCGCCCATTAACAAGCAGAGAGAGGTGGGGGGAATGGGGGACGCACTCAAAATGAAGCACGTTTCCACAGTGCACAAAAATGTGCAGACACGCTGCGGTGCCGTTCATTCTAAATGTCGTGCCATCAGTCTGAATGGTGCCCCCAACGTGCCTGCCACAGCACGTGCCTTGTGGAAACCCACGGAACGAAAGTACCCTGCGTTTAAAAAAAAAAAAGGTACATGCGCTTCTTTAGATGGTGCAATTGACGTGTATTGGCCAGTCCCTTGGATTGAATAGGCTGTCCAAACATGCTGTGTCCGCAAAGTTGGTGCCCCTTATCACTAAAAGGGAAATGGTTTGGGGGAATCTTTTACGAACTCTGAAAGCTGCAGATGAAAATTAAAACAAAAATTTGAAAAATTGCAAAAATGGTCTAACAAGCTGAGGTCAAAAGTGGGGAGCAGGACCTGGCGGGATTGATGGGTGTACACGCTCATCAACCGGCTGCCACATCTCAACATATCAATTCACCTGGTATTATACACTATATTGCCAAAAGTATTGGGACGCCCCTCCAAATCATTGGATTCGGGTGCTCCGTGACATTTCCTTCCTACTAAATATTCCGCGGTCACCTGTTACTGGTATTATAACAAAGTGGAAGCGACTGGGAACAACAGCAACTCAGTTCATACTGATCCGTGGTATCTGCCACAGAAGCAGGGCGAGAAGAAGAGCGAGAGAAGCGATTGAGGATTAGTTGTGAGAAGGGAGACATGGAAGGCATTGGGAATCCTGAGATGAGAAGGTAGGCGGAGCTTGAAAGTGACTGGATTACCTTGACGAAGAATCGGAAAGGGACCAATGAAGCGTGGAGCAAATTTCATTGAGGGAGCTCGGAGGCGGATGTGCTGGGTAGAAAGCCAAACCCTGTCACCAGGTAGTAATTTAGGACCAGGACAGCGATGCCGATCTGCTGCTGTTTTATACCTGGAAGCGGCCAGATGAGGATTCTTAGGCCTTTTGGGTCTCCGCTGCTGCTGGCACAAGAGGGGAGATATGAATGGGAAAGGGGGCAGATGGATGCTGACCGTAAACAGTGAAGAAAGGTGATTTCCCTGTACTGGCATTAGAATAGTGGTTAAGGGCAAACTCTGCCCGGGGTATAAGGTCCACCCAGTCATCTTGGTGAGCCGAGATGAAAGCACGGAGATAGCGTTCAACATTTTTATTGACGCGTTCTGTTGGCCTATTGGACTGGGGATGAAAGGCAGATGAGAAATCCAATTTGATTCCGAAGGAGCTGGCCAAGGCTCTCCAGAAGCAAGATGTAAATTGAACTCTCCTGTCAGAGACAATGCGTGAGGGCATACTATGGAGACAAAAGATTTTTGATAAAAGTTGTGGTAAGATTGGGAGCAGAAGGCAGACCTGGGAGAGGAATCAGGTGACACATTTTGAAGAAACGATCCACCACTACCAGATAACCGTGAAGCCTGCAGAGGGAGGAAGATCAGAGATAGAGTCCATGGAAATACAGCGCCAAGGCACGTCAGGAACTGGTAAGGGTAGAAGCGAGCCAGTTGGGGCAGATGTGGAAGACTTGAATTGTACACAAACCATGCAAGCCTGAACGTACTCTTTGACGAAGAGAGGGCCAGTAATCATGTAGAAAAAGATCACAGGTACCATGGACAGCAGGATGTCCGGAAAACATGGAGTCATGTGCCCACACAAGGAGTTTGCGACGGAGTGTTTTCTGCTGAGATAGGAGAAGAGCCACAGTTGCCTACGGCCATGGAAGCGCTGGCCCAGCTCGACAACCCTGGTTCTGCCCAGGATATGCTGGGAAGGAGAGACGCTTTGCGCCGGGAGATCTGGAGGGAGACTCTTCAATTGCAGCAGCACTATTGTGGCAAGGTCCTCCCTACATCCAAGGAACGATACTGGCTGCAATGGGACTTGCGTTTGCCTTTCCTGGGAGAGCAGCCCCGGGAGGAATGGCTGTCGGAGCTGGATTGGCTGCTCCTAACGGAACTGATGCTGGACGATGGGTATCGGGCGCTGCAGTGGTATGTCACCCAATTGTGTCCATGGCTGGAGAACAATAATCCCACAGAGGGCTATGACTTCGGCGGCACGGGACTTATATTTGAGGCGCTCCAGGAGGATCCACAATTTGCTGTGACAGAACGGGCGAGCAGTGAGGGGAGAGAGAGGCGCAGGCTGTCAGATCCAGGCCGAGCGTCTCTCTCTCCTCACTCGCTCTGCATTAGTTAGTGACAGCGGCTTTGTCCTCCGCCCTCCCCCGCCGCCGGTTCCTTCACTTCTTCTCGGATCCCCGCTGGGGAGAGCAGCGGGATCCAGAGAAGCGGCGGGAGGAGAGGACATGGCGATTTACCAGTGATCGCCCTCTAGTAGATATCGCCATTCTTGAAGAGCTAGTTTAATAGCCAGTAGCTCACGATACCAAATGGTTCATGCATTTAGCTATGAGAAAATAGTTAGGCAAATCACACTATATAAATTCTAACCTATATAACAATGCTAATATTAACTGAGGCTATGCATCTCCTATTCTATGCCCCTATTGGGGCGGCACAATAGTTCTTTTCTGCATCTGAAAACTTCTTTGAAAAGAACGCACAAGGCCAGGACTTGCCCTTCTAGCTTGCAGTAGGGCAGCGCCTACTCCTACTGAAGAGGCATCAACCTCCATAGAAAAGGGCTTTGTAATGTCTGGATGTAGGAGAATTGGGGCGGAGAGGAAAGCTGTCTTGAGTTTGTGGAAAGTGCCAATGGCTTCAGGCAACCAGGACCTGGCATTGGTACCCTTACGAGTAAGGGATGTAATAGGAGCCACCAGAGTCGAATAGTTAATGAATTGCCAGAAGTAATTGGCGAAGCCCAAAAAGCGTTGAGTGGCTTGAAGTCCAGAGGGCTCAGATAGCACTTAGTTTGGATGGATTCATAAGGAGACCCTGATCTGTGATGATGTAACCCAGGAATGGAACCTGTGTTTGTTCAAAGAGGCACTTCTCCAATTTATCCTAGAGGCAATTGTCCCTCGGATGCTGCAGAACTGTTTTCACGTGGAGATGATGGGTGCAGTGGCGTCACAAGAGTAGTGCAGCCCGCACCCGGGTGCCACCATTGGAGGGGTGACACCAAAATGACTGTCAGGAATTTTGGTGTCACCCCCTATGAAAAGTCGGGCACTCAGTCACAGACCGAGAGCCCGACAGTGTCAGGAGAGAGGAGGGCAGCAAAACGTTTCCAGGCACACTCACCAACCTGCATGCAAAAACGCCTGTCTAACCACTAAGGTTAAAAGCAGAGGTTTAGATACACGTCTTCTGCAGAAAATGTGAAAGCCGCACAGCCACGTCAAGGCATCTCCATATAGTGCGCTCCTAACTCTAAACTATGAGAGTCTCCATCTTGGAGCACATGGGGCAAAAAATTAAATTGGGTGCAGGTTTGTCAGGAGGAAGCCCAACCTCCCTTAAAGGCACAGGTACGCACAAGTGACCCCGCACATCACAACGGCAGCTGAGACCCCCCATGCATCACTGCATCAAATCAGTCAAGCAAAACAAATGGCAAACGCACTCATCAATTCGTTACCAGCTTTACAGCAAGGTGCACACGGAAGGACTTCAAACAGTAAAACACCAAAAAGTTTCCCGGCACACTCACCAGCCAGCATGCAAAAAAACCTGTCTAACCACTAAGGTTAAAAGCAGAGGTTTAGATACACGTCTTCTGCAGAAAAAGTGAAAGAGGAGGGGACCCGGCGGCATACCTCATCCCGCAGGGTGAATGTCCCCTCCCCTCTCTGCCGGCGTCCATCGCCAAGATGGACACCGGCAGAGAGGGGAGAGCAAGCGCGATGATGCTACGCTGGGGTGTCTCCGCTCTGGCTGTCACTCAGCCTTGGGACGCCCCTGAATCGGTGTCCAAGTCTGGAGATAAAATAAGGATATCAACAAGATATACGATAACACAGACATACAAAAGATCACTGAAGTTCTCATTAACAAAGTTTTGAAAGACAGCCGGGGCATTACATAAGCCGAAGGGCATTACGAGATATTCCTAATGCCTGTCCCTGGTGTTGAAGGCAGTCTTGCACTCGTCTCCTTCGTGGATTCTGATTAAATTGTAGGCACCTCTAAGATCTAATTTAGAGAAGACACGAGCACCCCGCAATCTGTCAAAGAGTTCTGAAATCAAAGGAAGAGGGTGTAGGTTCTTAACAGTGATGGTGTTAAGGCCCCTGTGATCGAAGCATGGACGGAGTGAACCAACTTTTTTCTCTAAGCAGAAAAATTCCAACATAGTAAAATCACAGAGTGGACTCCGTCACCGTCTTAAAGGAGAAGTGCGCTTCATAACAAACAAGCCTGAAAAAAAGAAAACGAAGGCAGCCGCCACATCTAATGACTGGTGAGCTGCAATATATTAACTGCTTTTGGTTTAGAGGCACTTTATATACTCTAATGCCATTATGGTGACAGTTCCTCGTCCACAGAGGACTATGAATACACAGTCCCTCATTGACTTCAATACGATTCTGAATTTAAATCCATCTAATTTTTTTATGCAACAGAAAATTTGGGTGGATTTTCGCTGCGTTCTCTGATCACGGTTCATCAGACTTTATGTATTCCTTGAGGCTGCACTTTATAATCCTGACACAATTGTATCCCGGTACTAATAACCTGTCATGTGGAGGCGGATCGCTGGCAGAATGCTGCACGCTGCTGGTAAATCAGATCCTGTACTACGCCCCCCTCTATGTTCCCTCCTCGTCCTCTCCTCCTTTGTACTATGCCCCCCTCTATGTTCCCTCCTCTCCTCTCCTCCTGCCTATAGAAGGACACAGACACTCCTCGCACTGACTGCACAGAGCTCACCCTCCCAGCACTGCAGGAAGAACAAGAGGACAGGACGGACTGGACGCAGGTACCGTATACATCATACGTGTGTCCTGTACATTGTATATAGACAGGCGCTGTATATACACCGTGCATGTCTTGTATCAGGAAGTCGGTGTTGTACATGTAACGTGTCTGCATTGTACAGATCATACATACTGTACATACAGTATACATGGATGTAGGTGGTAGAGTACAGTATACATGTAACTGTGCAGGAACTAGTGATGATGGAATACACCTTCAGCACGTCACAGCGGGACCTCCCAATCCTATATTAGTGTATACAGTATAGACAAGAATTTCTTTTTAGTTTAGACAAAGTAGGGAAGGGCTACACCCCCCTTCACTTTATGTTTATGCCTGTACCTTGCTAGGGAGATTTCCCTTCACTTCCTGTCCTGGAGACACAGCAGGAAATGAGAGGAGATCCCTACAAAGTGACAGGAAATTCCCCTCCTAGTTGTCACCAGAACAGATGTCCCCATTGGAAGATTCCTCCTCACCTCCTGTTCTGGTTTTCCCATCACGTTCTGCAACTTGGCCAGCTCACTTTGTTTTGGGGCGTGACGGTGCATTGAAGTCAATAGCACCGCAGCCACGCCGCCCGCCCGCAGAGCGATCACCACCACCCAAACGCGTGACGAATTAGTGCCTGTGTTCCGGTACATTGTGATCTGCAAAAAAGTAGCACAGGCAGCATTTTTGCAGATTGCATTGGACCAATACGCGAGCACTAATATTCCATGCGTTTGGGTGCCGGCGTTCGCATGGCGCGGGGGAGGGCGGGTTGCATGTCGTGCTATTGACCGCCACGCCCCCTCCTATCCCAAAACAAAGTGAGCCAGGCAGGACGCACTGGAAGGCAGTCTTTATGGCGTGACTGGGTCCTGACAACAGTATTTTTAAAACAAGAATGATTTTTTTTTTTTAGCATGTATTTTCCTTTTTTAGGCTGGGTTCACACCTGGGCGGTTGTAATATGCGCGTCAAACGCACGTTTTTGGCTCCTACAAAGTGACAGGAAATTCCCCTCCTAGTTGTCACCAGAACAGATGTCCCCATTGGAAGATTCCTCCTCACCTCCTGTTCTGGTTTTCCCATCACGTTCTGCAACTTGGCCAGCTCACTTTGTTTTGGGGCGTGACGGTGCATTGAAGTCAATAGCACCGCAGCCACGCCGCCCGCCCGCAGAGCGATCACCACCACCCAAACGCGTGACGAATTAGTGCCTGTGTTCCGGTACATTGTGATCTGCAAAAAAGTAGCACATGCAGCATTTTTGCAGATTGCATTGGACCAATACGCGAGCACTAATATTCCATGCGTTTGGGTGCCGGCGTTCGCATGGCGCGGGGGAGGGCGGGTTGCATGTCGTGCTATTGACCGCCACGCCCCCTCCTATCCCAAAACAAAGTGAGCCAGGCAGGACGCACTGGAAGGCAGTCTTTATGGCGTGACTGGGTCCTGACAACAGTATTTTTAAAACAAGAATGATTTTTTTTTTTTAGCATGTATTTTCCTTTTTTAGGCTGGGTTCACACCTGGGCGGTTGTAATATGCGCGTCAAACGCACGTTTTTGGCCGCATGGTTTTTGCACGTTTTTCTGTCCACGAAACGCGCGTTTTACTAAATCTAATATGCAGAAGTCAATGGATCCACGCATTACCTTACAACCATCGCAAGACAAAAGTCTTGTGCCCAGCCTTAGGAGGGGTGCTTCACTTACCTGAACTCCATGCACCTGCTGCTTCTGATCCAGGGGTTAACTCCATGTGTCCCAGGCCTTCTTCACCCTGATGTTATCGGCCTCCTCTAAATCCGATGCCACTGCTGGCAGAGCAGGAGCCTCTGCAAGTCCACCCCCATTCTCCCCCCGCGAGGCCGGCAGTGGCTGATGGGGAGGGGGCGGGGCTTGTCCTGAGGCTGCGGGCACCCTATTCTCCCTGCGAGGCCCGCAGTGGCAGATGGGGAGGGGGCGGGGCTTGCACGTAGGCTGCGCCCGGCACCCCATTCTCCCCGCGAGGTCCGCAGTGGCAGATGGGGGAGGAGCGGGGATTTGCTGAGGCCGCGGGAGCTGCATTCTGCCCGCTTGGAAATTGTTGCAGCTCCCTTCTGGCCAGCGACGAACTCGCCAGGTGAGGTGAATCTGCAGAGGCAAGTTAGGAGGCCGCGAGGCCCTCGTAAGCGCGAGGCCTTAGGCGACCGCCTTACTTGCCTAATTAGAGAGCCGCCTCTGGCCTCTACTTCCTCCGAGGTGATAGGTTGATCTAGGTCAGCCGCTATGGAGGCGGAAAGCGCCTTTAAGTGCGCTTCCTTTAGGTATTGGCTGATAAGGGATTTTTTGGCGGACAGTGCCTCCGGGGACATAGTAGGGTTTATAATCAGTATCTAGACTGGTTACAGTCCAGGTATCTCTAAATTGAATAGCGACATTTTAGAGGGCGCTACAGTCATCTCCCGCCTCTTCCTCAAAGCCCTGGCTAGTAAGCGCCCACATTTGTTCCCCTGCTCATAATAAAGGTGAGAGACATAGCGCAGTTTCTTTTTAATTTGGAGGTCTAAGAAGTCTGTCAGATTTTTACGGAGGTTGATCAGCTCCTGGGCATCCTGGGAGAGACCCGTACGCTTATGGCGTTGTTCCGCTCCCTGGATCAAGGTTAGCAAGCGGTCCAGCTCAGCCTTCCTGGCCTTGTTCAGTCTCGAGCCCTGTGAAATCAGCACTCCACGGACCACTGCCTTGTGTCCTTCCCACACTGAGCCCACTGAAGTCTCCCCCACTGTGTTCTCTAGGAAATAAAGGCGTAGCGTCTCAGAGGTCGCACCTGCTGCCTCTGGGTCGTCAAGCAGGTTCTCATTGAGGCGCCAGGTCCGTGAAGTGCCGGGAACCCGGGGCAATGAAATAGAGAGAGAGACAGAGGAGTGATCAGAAATAGTTATGGGGTTAATAGTCGCCTCGCACAAGGTGTCCAGGTAGTAGTGATCAATAAACAGCATATCGATCCGGGAATAAGAGTCGTGGGTCTTAGAGTAGTAGCTATAGTCTCTATCTGATGCATGGGTCGCCCTCCAGGTGTCAAGTAAGTGCTTGTCATAGAAGGCTTTGCGGAAATGTCGCAGAGCTGCAAGGGAATGCGCTGATGTGCCTGAGGACGTGTCCAGTACTGTATTGGGACTGAAATTAAAGTCCCCTCCCAGCACTAGCAGGCCCTCTTGGAAGTCCGTCAGTTTGACCAGTAAAGAGTCTAGGAACGTAAGCTGACGAGTATTGGGAGCGTACGCCGTGGCAAATGTGAAAATCTGGCCCTCTATGGACCCCTTCAAAAACAAGAACCGGCCTCCAGGGTCTGTCAGTTGGTCAAGGAGTTGGAATGGGCATCTCTTATGGACAGCTATCGCAACCCCACAGGATTTGGGTATGGGGGAGTTACTAAGATACCAACCAGAGTACATATGTGTAGGCAGCTTGGGTACAGCATTATCACGAAAATGAGTTTCCTGCAACATTACTACCTGTGCTCCCAGGTGCCTCAGTTCCCTCCACAGCCTGTTCCGCTTGTTTGGAGAGCAGAGACCCCGCACATTATACGACAATATCTTCAACACAGACATGGTATCATTGGAGTATCCCAAGGAGAAGGTCGGGTGCCTCCGAGCCAGGAACATTTTGCGAGCCTAGATAAGACATACATGGTGAGTACACAGAACAAAGGGAAAAGTATATCAATACAAAACCAACACAAAAAATGATAACATTGGGTATTAAGACCAACTAGTAGTGCTTCCCTGGTCCGAGGAGTCACCAAACCGGGGACTCCCAGGAGGGGAAACAAAAAGTCCCGTCCGGGACACGTCTCCCGTAAGGGGGACAATCCTAAGTGGGTAACGTGAAAGGGCATAACAGGGGAGGGTGCAACCCGTCCCAGCCAACTTAGGGTAGCGCGTTCCTCCTGAGGAGGTAAGCCATGTGGAGGTAAACATCCTGGGAGAATAAACCTTCAGTAGAACGTTAAGGGTATGGCCACAAGTAGAGTAGAAAAAGCCAGTATGCGTTCAAAAAACAAGAACTGTGCACATAAGGTGCCTCGCACCTGCGGGGGTTTATCACATGGGGGAGCTGTGGAATGTAGAGTGAGTCATGAGGTCCCCGGGGTGTGCAATCAGGTATGCAAAAATGCGGCAGATGTGAGTTTCTGATGATGATGAAGGCAGGGCACTTCCTCCCGGCCTCCTAGGCGGAACAGTCTGCCAGGGGGGTTGGCGAGATGGTAGTGGTATAGTAATGGACGCATTCCAATCCGGCAGCGAAACCTTAGGGAGGTCTAGTGCTTTCAAAAAGCCAGGGAGGTCGCTCATTTCCATCAGGGATACTGTCATGCCTTCTTTGCGGACCATTAGGCGGAAGGGGAAGCCCCAGCGGTATGGGAGCTGTGCCTTGCGAAGGGAGTCCAGCAGAGGGCGCAGCGCTTTCCGTTGCATAAGCGTGCGTTTAGATAAGTCTGGGAAGAATTGAAGCGTCGCACCGTCAAACTCCAACTGGGGCCTATCCCTCATGATAGATATAATGGCCTCCTTCACAGAGTATTTGTGTAGTTTACAAATCACATCCCTAGGTTGCTCCACATTAGGGGAGGGTGGGGTGCGGTGTGCTCTGTCTATCTCTATAGGGTCTCCAGGACCCAGGCTCAAAATACTCCGAAAGATGCCCTGTAGCGTGGGGACAATGTCTTTAGGCCCCGTGGCCTCAGGGAGTCCCCTGATCCTTATGTTTGACCGGCGACTGCGGTTTTCCAGGTCATCCAGCTGATTCAAAATGGTAGCAATCTGCCTGTCATGTGTGGTACTGCGCTCTCTAAGGAGGGACATGGCCACCAATGAATCATCCTGTAATGCTTCCAGGGATTCCACTCTGTTCCCCAAATGTGCAGTCTCCTGCCTTATTTCAGCAATGTCCTTCTTGAAGGCCTGCTCCATCCTGTTCATAAACATGTCCAGGTCAGCCTTAGTGGGGAGAGACCAGATATGGG